CGCCCTCATGTCCCCTCTCCGCCGCCCCACGGAGTCCCCCTTCTCCCATCCTTCCCCCCGCCACGCCCGATCCTCCCTCCCCCTCCATCCTCCACCCGCCTGGCCTCACAGATGTGCTTCGACGGCGCACGCTGGACGCGCCGCTGGAACCACACGCTCAGGCCGTCCTCCTGCAGCCGGTACAGCCGCTCCTGCTGCCACGTGCGCGAGCGGATCTTGCGGAGCCGGGAGCCCCGCAGCATGGCGCGCACGTCCTCATCCTCCGTCAGGCCTGGGGACAGCGAGGACCGCGTCAGCCTCCTCTCCCCAGCGGGGGCTTCTCCAAACCCCTGGGGGTAGGTCCCTGCCCCTCCAGACCTCCCGGCCTCTTCGACTCTAACAAGGCGCCAAGGGTTTGACTTTAGGCTTTGCGGCCCAGGATGCCAGTGACAGCTCCCCTCCGCCCTCCCCGGGAAGAACCTGACCCCCGCCCCCAGCCTCTTCAAACCCCGCAGTGGGCATCCCTACTCCTCCAGGCCTCCTTGCCTCCCTGACGCTAGCAAGGCACCATGGTGGGGCTTGGCTTTAGGCTTTGGCCTGGGGTTCAGTGACAGCCCCTCCGTAGTCCCTCAGAGCAGACCTGACCCGCAGCACTGCTGGGACCCAGGCCTCACTAGAGGTCGCCCCTTCTGCCACCTGCCCCAGCAACGTGGTTGCCAGCCTTCAAGCCCAGAATCTGCCAGCAACAGCCTTTTCCCTTGATGTGAAACTGTGGCCATCAGGAAAGAAGTCCTATTATCTAGCCTAGATCTCTCATGCTGCAACCCAAGAGCCTCATTTCTGCTTTCCCAAAGACAAGGAGGCCAGCAGAGGCCTCTCCGGCTCAGGGTCACAGGCCCAGGACTCCAGGGCCAGCTCTGCCTGGCTGATCTCCAGGTGTCCTCTGTGTGCCTGGTGGAGCCCTGCAGAAAGGAAGGTGTCCTGTGACAGTGGTGCTCCCTTGCACCCACCCACTGCCACTCCATGGATTCTCCCACCAGTGTCCCCGTTTTTTTTAGTTGGAGTCTCACTTGGTTGCCCGGGTTGGAGTACAGTGGCATACTCATGGCCATCGCAGCATCAATCTTCTGGGCTCAGGTGACCCTTTTGTCTCAGTCTCCTGAGTAACTGGAACTACAGGCACACAGCACCATGCCTGGCTAATTTTTTTTCAAAATTATTGTTTGGCGAGACCTCATCTCTACAATAAATAAAAAATCAGCCGGGCGTGGTAGTGCGCGCCTGTAGTTCCAGCTACTTGGAAGGCTGGGGCAGAAGCATCACCGGAGCCCAGCAGGTCGAGGCTGCGGTGGCCGGGA